CAAAGGAACAGTACGCGGACGCAGCTTCTGAAGCATCAACGAGCCGGTGCASCAACAATCTTGTTGTTAAGTGGCTGTTACAAACTCGCACCGCTTAGGGCAGGTAGAGACGTGCGTAAGCCTACCCTMTGAAGTTGATTGATTGGCCTTTTCATGCGGATAAGAAAAGCGGGTTTTGTTCATGTAGTGCTAGCATCTTGGGGAAATCAGGGTGATTCTAAGTTTTGGTTCCGTGGTGTTTGGGTGGTTGGCCGAGGATTGTACGCAAACCGTGCGTCTATTTGATTTTTCTTGAGCACCGTCTTCACAGTAGCTATTCAGCAAATGCAGTTTAGATGATGCAAGGGAGGAGGCCTCTGTCCCGGTCTTGGAGCCACAGATCAGGACAGTTTTGAAATGACTTTGTTTAAGGGGATGGGGAAAGGGCGAGGGTATGTGTGGGGTCTTCCAAACAACGCTTTTAGGGTACGTGGGCTGTGTGAGYGGCTTTAAGAAGAATTTATATCGTTACCTGTGGTGCAGACTAGTCGGTTACTTCTGTTGTGGAGTTCTCAGTTCCTTCTAGCAAATCACTACACTAGCGGGAATGTGGGTACCCCCAATATCGCCATGGTTGGCTTCCCCGTCCCCAATTTTTCATGTTTTTCCAGTTTCGCTTGAAATTGACTTAAGTAACAAAGTGATAATCATGGGTGCCAACTCACCCAGCACAAGGGGGAATTTTATTGACCAATTCATTTTCTTTCTCTTTTTATTTTGTGATAAGGATAGAAAGTTTTTTTTTTTCCCTCACTTTATTTATTTTAGCATTTGTATGCTGGCACTGGTGGTTTTAGTGGCTAGAGTTGGCAGTGGGAACGTGGTTGGGAATACATAACTACATGTAGAAAAACAAATACAAATATGATGTTACCAGATGTGATCTTACTTCCTGGAGAGCTAGATGGCTAGATTTGGTGAAGAGTCCAGCTAAACTTGTGACTAAAGAAAAAAAATGATAAAACATTTCTTATCTAAGTGTGTTTATTTGATGAAAGTAACATTAAGTTCACTGAGGAATTCTGAAAATACAGAAAAAACACAAAAAAATTAGAATCATCTGTATYCCTGAGAGTAACAATACTGAATTATGATTCAATATTGAGCAAACAATATAGAATACTGTAATAGCCTCGTTGTTTATATGCAGCCTGGACTCTTCAATGATCTCCTGAAATTGTTTATGTGATGTGGAAGTAAATAAATATCACTCAAATGAGAGCAAGCAATGGCTTTATTCAAAGCTTTATTCAAAGCTTCCTCCAACAAGGAAGTCAACAACTAGCACTGTGTGGGCACAGCCCCAAAAACAGCAGAGGAAAGCTTTATAGTGGAAAAAAAAAAAAAGAATGCTCAAATAGCCTTGTTTGGGTTTTTTATCTTGGGGATGCTGGTTATCTAGATTACCTATTTGATTTTTAGGTTAAGTCGAAGTAAGTCATCCCATGTAAATAGAAGAGCATATTTACTTCCTCTTGTTTACTTCATCCCCTTCAATTTAAGACCTCTTGTTGGTCTTAAATTGAAGGGGATGGAGTAAAGTTGTCTTTACCCAAATGCATCCACCAAGTCAAACCCTAGCAAAATGGAGCAGGGAGGCCATGACTGATAAGTGCCCATGCTGCTGTATGTGCCTATAATAAGAACCTTTAGGAGTCTCTGAAACTTTTTAGGAATTTCAGATAAGCCTCTTCTATTGAGACAGTTACCCAGCAGCAATCACCAACTCCTGTGATAAATCCCTGAACTAATGGTACTTGTTTCAAAACAGCTTATACTTCTATTTTCTTTTAAAAGATCCCTCCCACCCTGCCCTGACCCCTGAATGTGCTAGTGGTACATCAGAACATGCATATCCCAGACTGCAGTCTTTTTTTTTTTTTTTTTTTTTTCCTGAATAAACTCTTTGCTTTGGAGGGTTGGTTTCCCTGTTGCTCATTTTAGGTTAACAGGGCCAAAAATTTGGGTAATGATGGCAGTTATTGACCAAGTTCTGGATTGGTTCCAATCACTGCAGATGTTGTGGTTTGGCTTCTATTTGTTTTGTCTGACAGTTGTCCCTTTGTATGTGCCTTGTTTCAAGTAGGTGCTGGGGAACTTATCCTAGGGAGAAGGGGAGGGCAGGGCTACAGTTTCCCTTGCATAAAGCTTTGGAAATTGAAATCAGAAATCTCCCAGATGACTATTCTAGCAGCTCATTCACAAGCACAGTGACTTAGTGTGGACTAAGTTTAGTTTGTTGGCCCATTGGAGTACCCTGTCCCAGGTCTGCCTAGCAAGAGATCTTCAAATTAGGGCTAGCCTTGTTTTCTCTTTCTCTTCTTCAGCCTACCCTGACAGGCCAGCTCCTTCCCCTTGTGTAAGATCAGGCCAGCGAAGTGATGTTCCCAACAGCCCCGTGGAAGGTGAGCTCTGGTTTCCTCATCCTCGCTGCTGTGAACAACTCCTTCATTCACACTGAACCCTCTTTAGCAATTTCAGGAATTTTCTTTTACTCTGAAGCCAGATGGATTCAAATCCAGACTGTTTCAGATGTGTTTCTTACAGCAAGTTACATAAGCACTCTAGGCTGTAGTTTCCTTACCTGTAAAAGGGGAAAATAGTAGTGCCAATCATAAAAAGTGTGTGGATGACTACAGGCATGTGCAGTACTTTGCATAATACCAGTTACATGTTAAGTGCTCCACAGGCTTTAGCTGATATTATCAGAGTTCCTGACTTTTTTTCTGTCAGTGAGCAATCTTATGTACTTAGTATAAAAACAGACACTGTTTTGTTCTGGGAGATAACAATCTGCTTGGAGAGGCAAATATGTAAGAAAATTCTTATAATAGGAATCAATTATGAACTGTTAGCATTAAAAGGTACATGGCAGCTAGGCACAGTGGCACATGCCTGAAATCCTAGCACCTTGCGAGGCTGAGGCAGGAGGATTGCAAGTTTGAAGCCAGCCTGGGCAACTTAGTAAGACCCTGTCTTAAAAAATTTTTAACAAGCACTGGGGATGTTGATTAGTGGTAGCGAACCCCCTGGCTTCAACTTCCAGTGCCAGGTCAAAAAGATTTGAGCATGGTAGCAAATGCTTATAATCCTAGTGGCCCAGGAGGTTGAGCCAAGAGTATCAGAAGTTCATGGGCAGCCTCAGCAATTTAGGGAAACCCTTAGCAATTTAGTGAGACCCTGTCTCAAAATAAAAAGGACTGGTGGGTTGTGGAGTCAAAGTCTTGAGTGTTGAATCAAGACATTGGAGGAGATGAGAGTGGAATCAAAGGCAGAGGAGGGGGGATTACTAGGAGGGGACCTCCTCCTCCTGACAAATGAGAGTAAGAAAGGTAAAAATTTAGGTAGTGTTTGAGGGGAGTGAGGAGAGTTAAAGAGTAAGTAGCCTATGGGCTGATCTCTGGGATAGGGTTGGCAGTGTTTTCTGAGAGTGGGGCCTAGTCAGGAGGCCCCCATGGATTACCCTTGGTGGGGTAAGGATCCAGGGTATTGATGATGGATGGCTACTGTGTACCATGTTGACTTTTCCACTCAAGCCTTCATTCCCTGAGACAGGGACCAGGGCTGCCATGGGGTCGTGTAGCTGGTGCATCTAGCACCTTGAGGGGACTCATTCATGGCTGATAGGAGCTGCTCTGGAGCTGAGCAGGGCACAGCCTGAGCAGCTACATGCTGTGGTAAGTGCTTCCTGAAGGAATGAGTGTGAGGAAGGYGAGAGCAAGCCCTGTGCAGCAATGTGCAGGGCCAACTCAATGTGTGGAGAGGACCCTGGGCTGTTAAGCCATGTCACTTCCCAGCTCTTGTTCACCCTCGCATAGGTGCAGAGCATAGACGGTGAGTGGCTCAGGCTGAGGAGACTGCAGGGTTGCTCTGGTGGAAGGAGGGGCATCCAGGATGGTGGTGAAACTGTAGATGTGAACTTTAGGTTTAATGGGGAAGAAAGACAGGCCACATGATTTGGAAGATTCCAGTATTTGTCTGCAGAGGGGAGCTCTGTGATGCTTCCCAGGATGAAGATATTTCCTGTTACTGGTTAGTTATAATGATAGAGAATGTAAACCCAGTGTACCTTGTAGAGGAAGGAGTGTTGAGGATAGTGCCCAGCCTCTGCTCCAGGGGCTGTATAAGTGCATACACAAGGGTGAGGCGCCCTGCGTTCTCAGTCCATGAGTTGAACTCCAGTGAAAACTTCTGTGTCCACTGGGCTGAAGGGTCTGTTTGCCTTCTCTGGATATACTCCTTTGCACATTGGTCTATACCTTTTATATTCACTAGCAATGTGTTCCCTTACTGTTTGACTTTGGGCAATGGGATGGAGTGGGGACAAGGGACCAGAGGCCTGGAGGAAACTGAGGTTGGATGTCTATTCCTACAGTTCTCCCCTGGCCAGGATGTGGAATGGTGATGGCTACCTTTCTGTGAGGCCCTTGCCTTGCTCCTACTCCACCAACTTTCTGGAATCTGGTGGCCCTTCGTCTAACTTACCCCTTCAAATCTAGTGGGTGTTGGTATTCATTAGGCCTGTCCATTCCTTTGTAAGTAGTCTATGTACTAACCACAACTTYGTCTCTTTCCTAAGGGCACCAGGGGCAGGAGTCAGGAGAATGACCTGGACCTGTTAGTAAAGTGCTTCTGGGATGCAGCCACACCCATTTGCTTATTGTAGTTTGTGATTGCTTTTGTGCTGTAACAAGAGTTGAATAGCTGCCCTAGAGACCAAATAACTTGAAAAACCCAAAATATTTGCTGCAGAGCCCTTTTGAGAACAAGTTTATTAACCCATGGCACAGAAGGAAGAACATGCCTGGTCTGAGGGCTAGCAGTCTGATTGGAGTCCTGAATCTATCACTTACTGAGTGACCAGGGCACTTGACCTCACCTTTGTCAGTAGAAGAACAATAATAGTTGCAACTGATTTTAAGAACTGAAGTTACAATGGTCGTTTCTTTTTTCAGGAGTTGCTGTCATTTGAGGATGTGGCAATGTACTTCACCAGAGATGAGTAGGCTCACCTTGACTGGACTCAGAAGAACCTCTATAGAGATGTGATGCTAGGGAACCACAGGAACATGATCTTGCTGRGTAATGGCTGTTTGTATATTCCATGTCTACGCAAGTGCACAGTTCCTCCGTCCCTTATCTGCAATTCCAAAATGCAAGAGTGCTGGAAACCACCTGTTTTTCATGACTTATTTGACTACAGAGCTTTAGTTGAAGTGACCAGTTAGTGAAGCCACTGCCTTTTGTGATTTTCCCACCTCCTATGCATATCTGTATACTTAGCTTTGGAAATGTCCATGTGTTTGGTCGAGGACACAGCTCTAAAACCTATTGGGGATGGTTCATAATACCATACACACATACACACACACACACATACACACACACACACACACACACACACACACACATGCCAAATGCCAATGCTTGGCACAAGATCACGAGCCACCACACAGCTTTGTAGGTTCAAACAGCAATTCTTTATTCCCGATCTCACACCAGCCTCCACACACGCTCAGGGGAAAATCTCAATCTCCCCCACAATACACGTCCTAAATACCTTTTCTCCAGGAGAACTCAGCCGGAACTCAGGCAGCAGGCACGCCCTACTCCCAGCAGCAATAATCTTCAACCTCCTACTTCCCTAAAACTCCTTTTGTCTTAAACCGGGAATATCCTAAGGAGCGGGATACTTCCTCAAACCTGATCAGCTCTAAACCCGGATCCGCCTTGGTCCTTGAGCAGGGTCACCTTACATGCAATGTCAACAGCGAAATCCATTTAACATGGGGTACGCTGGCAAGGAAATTTTGAAGCATCATTCCTACTTGACAATGGCCCTCAGCACACACACACACACCAAATCACCTTCCTGATGTCTGGACTGAATCCCTAAACACATGTGGCCCCAAGGGTTTCAGATAAGGACCTGTGGACATAGAATAGCTGTGTTTTATTTTAGGGGTCAGAGCATGAATCTATGCTCCACTCCTACTCCCTTCTTTCACATCTTTTAAGAACTTGAAGAGCTAGAAAAATTATGGTTAATTTAATTAATTAAATTTCCTAAGKCTCATTTCTTATTCTCTTGAAATCTTTTTCTTTCTTCTCTGAAAAAGGGAAGCTTCCTTGTCTCTGACATTATTGAGTGCCCAGGAAATGATTTTCAACTCCATTTCTGAATCATGTGACCTCCATCTTTCCAGCAGTCTGCCCTGGTCTTGTGCAGCAAAGTCTCTGAAACACAAGTGGCCTTGATAGTTCCCCTTCTCAGGCAATATGCTTGGCTCCTGGTATTGATAGAAAGGTCTTGATTACCTCTTGTAGGTACAACCAATCACCCTGAATTTTTAAAAATTGATTATTCTTTTAAAAAAGTATTATAGCCAGGTACAGTGGTGCATACTTRTAATTCTAGTGGCTCAAGAGACTGAGGCAGGAGGATTGCAAATTCAGAGTCAGCTTCAGCAACTTCAGCAACAGTACACTATTTTCAGTGTACTCCATTGGTGATTTTACTAGTTCTAAAAATAACAATGCTCATTATAGAAATTTTTGAAAATACATTAATGAATAGATAATAAAAAAGTCTACCAACCCACTGGAAATAACTCTTAATAGTTTGGTTTACTTCTTTCTAGTCAGTCCGTCTTGCTATCTACTTACATATTCACTTAGTTTATGGACATATATATGTAGGTTTTTCAAAAAATAATATTTGAAAATAATGTGCTCAAGTTTTGTATTCTGCTTTATTGTTGTTTTCTTGCCATACTGGGAATTGAACCTAGAACCTAGGTGCTCTACTACTGAACTACATTCCTTTTTTATTTTGAGACAGGGTCTCACTGAGTTACAGAAAATCTATCTTGAACTTCATAATTCTTCTGCCTCAGCCTTCTAAGTAGCTGGGATTACTAGTGTATGCCACCTGGCTGAATTCTCTTTAAATTATATAACTAGCCAGGAATGGTGGTTCATGCCTGTAATCCCAGTGACTTGGAAGGCTGGGGTAGGAGGATCACCAAGATTGAGGTCAGCCTCAGCAACTTAGTGAGACTCTGTCTCAAAAAATAAAAAGGACTAGGGTTGTGACATGTGACTTAGTGGTTAAGTGCCCCTGGTTTAATCTCTGGGGGATTAATAAAGAAATAATACCAAAATAAATAAATACACACACAGAGCAAACATTTTCCTATGTTAGTAAGGGAACACATGGATTTTTAATATCTGCCTAATACTTAGGACTTCATTGTATTAACATGCTATACTTTATTTATATTCAGTCTCTCTATTAAATAAACACAGTTAATTTGTAGTTTTACACTGCTGGAACACTATGTCAAACAGCTCTGGTATGTTCATCTTTTCCCTAATAATTCTTTAGGGTGTATTTCTTTTCTTTCTTTTTTTAGAGAGAGAGAGAGAGAGAGAGAGAGAGAGAGAGAGAGAGAGAGAGAGAGAGAGAGAGAGAGAGAGAGAGAGAGAGAGAGAGGAGAATTTTTTTAATATTTATATTTTAGTTTTCAGTGGACACAGCATCTTTTATTTTTATGTGGTGCTGAGGATCGAACCCAGTGCCCTGTGCATGCCAGGCAAGCACGTTACCGCTTGAGCCACATCCCCAGCCCCCCTTAGGGTGTATTTCTAAGAGTGAATTATTGGTATCTAAGGGCATGAATGTTGTTCAGGCTTTCAATAAAGATTGCCAGTCTTCACAAAGATTGCATTAATTTATGTTCTCATTAGCACTTTTAATTATTATTCTTATTTCTGCTTGTCATTGTGGACTCAGAGGGGTGAGACTGAGCCCTGGGACATCTCTCTRCAGTTTATTAACAGCCACCTCCCATTTACTTCTCCATGAGTAGGATTTTGGTTTCCTAAACCTGAGGTGATCTGTCAGCTGGAAAACTGGGACAAGCCATGGATCTTGGATCTGCAGAGTGCTGGGATCAGGAAAGCTTCTAGTAGTGCTTGCCCAGGTGGGTGAGGAGGATGCCCAGGCAAGAGAAGTCGTGAAGAGAAAGGGAAGGCATGTTAAAGAGCTGCTTCTGTGTACCAAATGTGCAGCATATAATATACCCACTTCTTCATTGCTACTGCCCTGGGAAGGTGGTAGGATGATCATCACCCACCTCTTCCAGATAAAGAAATGGGAAAGAGAAGAAGTCTCTCACATAGTGAGAAGGTTCACAGTTGAGATTTGAGTTCCAAGTCTGAGAAGCTCATCCTCTTTCTGCTGCAGTATGGAATGGCTTCTCTGAAGAGCTGCCTGGTGTTTGCTAAGTGGCAGCTCTCATGCTCCTCCCAGACCTTCATCCCACCCACCCTGATCCATTCCCCATACCGTTTCCTGCTCTCTTGCTGTAGTATTGTTTTCCTATTCCCTCAGTATTTCTTGATACATTTCCTTTCTGCTTCTGCCCTCTGCTTCAAGCTTTCTCACTCTCAACATTGTTGCCATTTTTAGCTGGTCAGTTCTTTGTGGAAGGCTGCTTGTTAAGCAGTGTTCCTGGTCTCTATCCACTGCATGCTAATTATAGCCCCTACCCCTGTTGTGACAACCAAAGAGGCTCCAGATGGAGTTCCATCCAGAAGTATTAAAAGCATGCCTATCTAGAATATAAGGTGCTGCCTCTCAAAACTACATTTATGAGACACTACTGAGTACCCAGAATGTTGCTTTCTGTCATCTTGATGGACTTTTTTTTCTTTTTGATGGTACTAGAGATTGAACCCAGGGCTTTGTGCACGCAAGGCAAGCACTTTATCAACTGAGCTTTAGCCCCAGTTCATGATGGACTTTTTTGTTCACACATTCTTTGGCATATACTTATGTGTTTTTTAGTGGGTCTGCTGATACCAAGAACTCTAACAGCAGAGTCCTATGGAATTTAGAATTTTGTCCTCTTGGGTGGAATGACGTAAACAAATGAGCACTTCTCAGCATCATTTGCTTGTCTATTATCCCAAACTATTGGCTGCTTTTCCTTCTGTCTCTTTAGTGGTAGAAAACATCATTTGTCTTTCCTTGTATTTGGCTAGGTCCYGGAGCCAGTTACAAGATGAAAAAGCCAACTACACAACAGAAAATTTCTGAAGATTTAGAGTCATATGAGCCATCACTGGTAATGCAGGATATAACCAAGAAATTTTCAGAAAAGTTATATAGATATAATGAAGTTGTGGACAGTAGCAAGTTTGTACTCCCCAGTAGTAGCAATGGATATTAAGACTTTCTTGAAAACCTGGATCTTATTCAACATCAGAATGCTCGAACATGGAAGAAACAGGGCAGATGTGGGAAACTCAACCCAAGGTCATTATTTTTGAGGTATGAGCATATTCTTAAAAGAGCAAAGCCTTATGAATGATGTGGAAAAAACATTAGGCATCAGGCAAATTTTGATAAACAGCAAAGAATTCACTTTTTAGAGAATCCCTTTGAGTGTTCCATATGTGGGCAAACCTTCAAACAACGGTCAACTCTTATTGACCATAAACAATGTCACCTGCAAAAAAAACCCACGTAACTCATGACTGTGGAAAGTGTTTCCGTCAGCTTGCATATCTTGTTGAACACATGAGGATTCATACCAAAGGAAAACCTTATAAATGTGGAGAATGTGAAAAAACTTTTAGCTAGAATTCAATCCTTATTCGACATCAGTTAATCCATAGTGGAGAAAAGCCACATAAAAGCCTTGAATGTGGAAAAGCCTTTGGTCAGTTTTCCACCCTTAGGAGCCATCAACAGATTCATAGTAAACAGAACTCTATAAGTGCAGTGAATGTGGATCTCCTTCAGCACCAGAGAATCCATACCAAGGAGGCATTCTTTGAGTGTACAGAATGTGGAAAAACTTTTAGTTTCAAGACAAATCTTAATCAACATGAGATCATTCACACTGGAAAGAGACCTTATAGATGTGACATGTGTGGTAAATCTTTCATTTGGCGAATAAGTTTTATTAAGCATCAGGGTACACACAAAGGACAGGGATGTACATAATGGTATCAGAAGAGCTGTCATTTAAAGACTAGAACTTATCATCTCCTGCAAGTATATATAACAAGTTTCATGAAAAGTAATAAACAGAACTGAAGTGGTTTTCCTATGTGTACCTTATTTTCCTGCTGTAGCCATGATTTACAGCCAGGCACAGTGGTGCATGCCTATAATCCCAGAAGCTAGGGAGTCTGAGGCAGGAGAATTGCAGGTTTAAAGCCAGCCATGGCAACATAGCAAGGCCCTRAGAAACTTAGTGAGACCCTGACTCAAACTAAAAAAAAAAAAAAAGTAGCAGAGTTGGGGCCTAGCTCAGGATGTGTGTTTACTTACTTAGCATGTGTGGGGCTGTAGGTTCAATCCCCAGCACTTAAAAAAAAAAAAAGCTAAAGTTTATAATCTATAAAAAATTAGCAGGGCTGTGGTTGTGGCTCAGTGGTAGAGCGTAGGCCTACCACGTGTGAGGCACTGGGATCAGTCCCCAGCACCACATAAAAATAAAAGTATTAGGGGCTGCGGATGTGGCTCAAGCGGTAGCGCGCTCGCCTGGCAAGCGTGCAGCCCGGGTTCGATCCTCAGTACCACATACAAACAAAGATGTTGTGTCCACTGAAAGCTAAAAAATAAATATTTAAAAAAACACTATTAAAAAAATAAAAGTATTTAAAAAATGACACCATAAAAAATTAGCATGTTACTAGATTCTACTGAATTTTTTTTTTTTTTGGTACTAGTAATTGAAGCCAGGGGTGCTTAACCACTCAGCCACATCCTCATCTCTTTTCATATTTTATTTAGAGATAGGGTCTTCCTGAGTTGCTTAAGGCCTCACTAAGTTGCTGAGGCTGTCTTTGAACTACCAATCCTCCTGCATCAGCCTCCTGAGCTGCTGGGGTTACAGGCATGTGCCACTGCACCAGGCTCAGTCTATTGAGTTCTAAGTTGGTGTTTGTATCAGATGCTTTTGGTGTCCCATCCCTGCCCTTCTGGCTTCACCCCTTCTGTGTGCTTCATATGACACTGCAGTGTCTGCATCTTCTTGCCTGGAGGGCATAATGCATCCTGCATGCAAYCCTCAACTAGTCACTGATGGAAATGTAAATATCAGGCTCATCCTCTTCCCTTGGGTGGAATATCACTGGAGGATTTGTTTTGTTTCAAGTTTCCCCATGGAAGTACACTCAGCTACTCCTGTGGTAGCTGCCTTATTATCTGCTGTCCCCTTTCCGTCTTGTACCGCCTTCACCAGTTTTAACACCTCTTCCACAAGTAATTTGCTATATTCAAAATTTGTTGTTTCCACATTTGCTCCCAGTACATTCTGACAAGATAAATAGGTTGTTGACTGTAGAGTTCTCCCTAGAGCTCAACCATGAAAGAAATCCTTTTGAAATTTTTTATTTTATATCCCATTATTTTGATATCCTAAACAGACCTTGTTGCTGTTTAGATCCTCTTATAGTACACAATCCTTAGTTTCTGCTTGATTTTATTTTCTTGCTTCTACCAATTCCATAACTTCTTTTTAAAAAATATTTATTTTTTAGCTTTAGGTGGACACAATATCTTTATTTTACATTTATGTGGTGCTGAGGATCGAACCCAGTGCCTCCTGCATGCTAGGCAAGCGCTCTACCACTGAGCCACAACCCCAGCCCCCCATAACTTCTTATCTAGCATATAAAATAAAAATTTTAAAAAGTTCTAGTGAGAATGAGCATTAAAAATATACCACTCTGGAACATTTAACTATTTAAGCGAATGGCTTTTGAAACCAGCAGATGCAAAAAGATCACTCTGATCTTTATGCTATTTTTTAAAAAGAGATTAAATTCCTATATAGAAGCTGTCCTTTCTGTACATCTTGTCATCAAGATGGAAAGTCAAGACTGAGAATTCTGTGCAGCTCTTACTAAAATAACTATATGTAACCACACCCCCCATATCTTACTTGCCTCTTGAAAACTTAGTACTCTAATTGAGTATAAAAGTAACTGCTTCTTTGGGTCATTTACTTATGAAAGTTCTTGTACTATGTAAAATGTGTAGTAAATGAATTTGTATCCTGTTAATCTGTCACTACTTCTTGGGCCCAGCAGGGACCCTAAGAGGATGCAGGTGGAATTTTGCTACACTTTCACAAGCAAGTGGCACCCCATATTCTTGGGAACTCTTACTTCTTTGTGGGAGGAAAATTATGACTGTATATTGGGCTCAAAAAAATACCTAACCAGTATATTTATGCTGGCCAGCATGAACAGCAAGAGGAAAGATTTGCCACAATGAACATCCCTAAGCAGAATAAGGTTGAGATGTCAGACGGAGGAGGTAGTAAGCCAATGAGGAGTAAACAAGCTCCCTTTGTCACCACCTTGGGAGATGGGGGCCTAATGAAAGCATTCCCGAGCCTGAGCACACAGCAGGCTGGTCCAAGCTGCTAAGTCCATTCTGATCAGGTGCACGAGCCACCAGCTTTAAGCAGAGAGGTATAACACAGGCTTAGTGCCAGCTCTGTCACAAGGATATGCAGAGCTGCACTGTTCCGTATGCTAGCCATTAGTCATATGAGGCTGTTTAGTCATTAAAATTAAATAAAACTAAAACTAGACTTCACAATAGCCACATTTTAAGGTCAGCACAGATACAGAATATTCCTGCTGCAGAAAGGTTTACTTGATAGCCGTGGTAGAGAGAACCCAAGGACTTCTTGTGGGCAAACAGTAGGAAAATGGGAGCTTTTTTGTGCTATTTCTTACAATTAAGTTACATGGACCTTTGTAAATGGTCCCTGTAAAATTAGAACATTTAGCAGAATTCCCTGGACACAGGAGGGAGGGATAAGGATGGTCGGAAGCCTTGCTGAACTAACTTGCTTGGGAGAAGAGAATTCCATCTCAAGAGGGCTTAGAGTGGGGTTAGCCTCACCACCCCACCATCCGCCGCCCCAAGAAGCTAGAAACATGCCAACTAAAAGTTTAGGTTGGCAGCAGCATGTGGTAATAGCTGTGATTTAGTCACTTAGGAGGATCACAAGTTTGAGGTCAGCCTGGGCAACTCAGTGAGACTCTGTCTCAAAAAAAGGGCTGGGTGGCTTAGGTCACTTGTAGAGCATCCCTGGGTTCAATCCCCAGAACTGAAGGTGGGTGCAGGGGAAGAGTTCCAATTGGCAATGGGAATGACAGTAGATGTTTGTGTTTTTTTTACCATTTGTCAATATGACTAGAGCTCAAAAGTAGCCCCCCTGAGAACAGGGAAGAAATGGTCAAATTTTGGCATTCTTGTTTGGGTGTTGGGCTGAACCCACTGTCCTCCAGGCCTGGAGAGACTGGGCAACTGTCAGCTCAGTCAGTGAAGGTGTCTAACCCTGGGCAAAGAAGCCTGGAATCCATGATGGACCATTCCACTGAATAGAAAGGCATGTTTTCTTGAAAAGACCAGTGAAGCGTTTTTGTGTGTGTGTGTTTGCCATATTTGTCTTAAACAGTTAAAAATAAAGGTAAAATTTGGTAGATGCTTTCATTTCATCAGACTTTTTATATATTAGGGTTGACTAAAATGTCCCGTGTTGTCACCTGGTCTTGACTAGTACTCAGCTCACACCATGTCAATTACCAGGTGAGCTTTGGCCATACCCATAGTGGCCAAGGCCTTGCTCCCTACCATTTTCAAATATAGCTTTCTTCTCAAAGTTGGATTCTCCACTCGCCAATGCTTCTCAGCTGGAGGAAATAAAGGGGGAATGACAAGGCAGGCAATTATGAGACAAAAATACTTGGTGGTACATGCCTGTAATTCCAGCAGCTTGGGAAGCTGAGGCAGGAGGATGGAAAGTTCAAAAACAGACTCAGCAACTTAGTGAGGCTCTAAGCAACTTAGCGAGACCCTGTCTCAAAATAAAAAAAAAATATGAAAAAGGCTGGGGATGTGGCTCAGTGGCTAAGTGCCCCTGGGTTCAATCACTGGTACCAAAACAAACATACACAAAACCCAAAAATACTAAGAGAAAATCAAAAGTAAATTTTACAGTATAAATAGCTGACTTCTGGGAAAGATGTAAACTTTTGGGCAAGTCATTGATCTATTTTCAGTAAGGTATGCACCTTGCATATCAACAACAAAAACTGAGAAATGCCTGAACTATTTAATAAAATTTCAATTGTTATATTCCCTAATTGGAAAATAACACAGCCATTAAACATAAAGATTATGAAAACCTGAAGACAAGATCCTTAAGAAAAAATGTTAAGGATATAAATGCACTATGGTTCTTATCATCCAAAATACACAGAAAAAAAATCACAGGCAAATACCACCAAATGCCAATAATAGGTTGATCATGTGGGATTTGTCCTTTATTATTTTCCCCCAAACCCAGAAAGGTGCTTATATTCTTAAATATATTTAAGAGTCAAAGTTCTCAAAGAATTTGAAAAAAAAATTGATGCAGTATTTGTTTTGAGTACACAGAGCTAGAAAGATGATTAGATACATTTGTATAAGCTGGGCAAATGCTCTAGTACTGATCTACATTTCCAGGCCTTTTTGAGACAGGGTCTTGATATATTGCTAGGTTGGCCTTGAACTTGTCATCCTCCTGCTTCAGCCTCTTGAGTGGCTGTGATTTCAGGTGTGTGCCACCATGCCTAGCTATTACCTTTCTCTCACTAAATACTTGTGTGCTTCAAGTTGAACCTTACAGGTATGTTAAAGCCAACCCAATGTCCTTCCTCCATCTGGATACAGGGGTGCTGGGAAGTGAAGGAGCAATCAAGTTTGAAAACTTGCAGCTCATATTCTCTGTCACGGTGGGGGTGCATGCACTAACTGATCCTCTGCTGCTATTCCTGGGGTCCACAGCCCACCACTGCAGAGGATCAAGCTGGAGTAAAGGGCAGAACTCAGGGGCAGAGTAAGTCAATTATGGGATGGAGGACACATACTCAGGTACAGATATAACCTTGCACTGACTGGGCAAGCCTTGAGACCTACTGAGTTCTCAAGTGTTGATGTGAGCCTACCTTTCTTTCTTTCTTTGTAAATGGGATGAAGTAGGTTCTTCTTTTTTTTTCTTTTTAACTGTTGATTGATATTTGTTTGTTTGTTTATTTACTTGCAGTGCTGAAAACTGAACCCAGTGCCTCACACATGCTAGGCAAATGCTCTACCAGTGAGGTACAGCCCCAGCCCAAGGTAAGTTCTTAATTCCTTGGAGGGGTGCTTGGAAATTGATGGAGAAATGCAGAGTATTACATAATGCCAATGAATACTCCTGTTAACAAAATAAGCAGCTCTGTTCCCAGGGCCCTCTTTTTGAAGACCCCAAAGAAAACCACAGGAACACTTCTTTATTTTATTATTTTTTTTTGAGTCTCTTTTTTTTTTTTTTTAAAGAGAGAGGAGAGAGAGAGAGAGAATTTTTAATATTTATTTTTTAGTTCTCGGCGGACACAACATCTTTTGTTGGTATGTGGTGCTGAGGATTGAACCCGGGCCGCACGCATGCCAGGCGAGCGTGCTACCGCTTGAGCCACATCCCCAGCCCGAGTTTTCAGCTTTTAAACTTAAAAAAATAAAAATAAAATTAAAAAGAAGCAGCAACAGCAGCTGCGTATAAATTTCTGCCCAGCTTTATGTCTCAATAAAAGAACAACAAAAACTGTATATACCCATTTTAATCAATAAAGACAACACATGATCAAGCAGCATGTACTTTAATAGCCATCTCATACTTTGAAAAATAGGAATGACAAATCATTTTTATGAGATATACCCAAATATCACTGTATTTTATTTTTGTTAGAAAACTATTTTATGCTGGGTTAGATATGCTACAGAACAAGTATTTGTTTTTTTTAGCAATAGCTCTAAAAGTAGTTTTCAGCACAAAAATAATTTCTTTACAAACTCTTGACATAGAAACAATGCATTTTTAAGAACANGCACGCATGCCAGGCGAGCGCGCTACCGCTTGAGCCACATCCCCAGCCCCCAGGAACACTTCTTTATGTTCCACACTATAAGAAGCCTCCTCAGGAAAAATGCTTTAGGCTTTTTGGTATTACAAGAGCCCATACATGTACAGTTCAGTGATGGTTTACTGAAAAACTTTTTCAGAAACCAAAAGTTATCAAATAATGAACCCTATTCAATAAGCTGTTAAAAGGATACTGTGCCAGAAGTGTGTGTGTTTATATGATTTTTTTTTTCTTGTTTTAAAAGAAATCAAGACTCCTAGAATGGGAAAGAGGGCTATACACAATCTTAAAATGTAAAAACTAGTGTCTCATGTATGTGTTGAAATTTACCAAGTATTTTTAGAATTATGAAGTAGTTGAAATTCGTTCACTATCTAAAGAGCAAGACAATTCCAAGGGCCCAAATTCTTAGGGAAGTAGAGAAGTAATTGAAACGGGAAAGATTTTGTCCAAAAGCAGTAGTGGAAAGAGTGATGAYAAGGACAGAAGTTTGTCACATATTGCTCTTGCTCTTATCAGATGTCATATCTAGTACAAATCTTTTGGAGGGTTTATATTCATTCCTCCTTCACAGAAGTTCTCCATCATAAAGTATTTCTTGAGACTCAAGCTGGACTGAATGTACCCTGTGTGAGATGCCTGCAGAAACAGGATTCATGAATGACTGAATGCTCCAAATGCCAAAGAATATAGTTTCTGGACACGAAAATAAATCCAAGTGAGCAAAACATTTCAAAGTGATGGGACTTTACCTTGATGGATCCTTTGGTGTCGGGCAAGGTGTGTACTTTGTCTAAAGCTTTCCCCACATTCAACACATTTATAAGGTTTTTCTCCAGTGTGAGTTCTCTGGTGTTTAATGAGGGTTGCACTCTGACTGAAGCTTTTCCCACAGACAGAGCATCCATAAGGCTTCTCCCCAGTGTGGATTCTCTGATGCTTAAAGAGGTCCGAGCGCTGTTTGAAGCTCTTCTCACACTCTTCACATTTATAGGGTCTCTCCCCTTTATGGAGTCTCTGATGTCTAAAAAGGTTAGAAACATGGCAGGTCTCCCCACATTCCTCACATTTACAGAACTTCTCTCCAACATGGGTTCTCTGATGCCGATTGAGATGTGAGCTCTGTCTGAAGTGTTCCCCGCACTTCAAGCATGTATATGGCTTCTCGCCTGTGTGTGTCCTCTGGTGTTTAATCAGGGCAGCACTCTGACTGAAGCTTTTCTCACATTCTTGGCATTCATAGGGTTTCTCACCTGTGTGAATCCTCTGGTGTTTCAGGAGGTCTGAGCGCTGTTTGAACCTCTTCTCGCAGCGATCACATTTATAAGGTCTTTCTTCATGGAGCCATCTCGGGGTGTCACTGTCAACAGAATTGTGAGGTTTCGCTATGTGATGTTTCACCTCACCAAAACTTTCTTTGCACTTGTTCCCTTGTTCCTCACCATCAACTGTCCTCAGTAATTTCTGGATGTGCTGACCAAGAACAAAGCTGGAACTTTTAGCACTATTCCCAAATTCATTATTTTTGGAGACTCCCTGTTCTGTGGAACCATTGCTGTTGAGATCTGAGATGGTAGTTCTTGATCTGAGTCCTTGTTCTTCAGAATTTTTGAGTTTCAATGACACAGGGTCTCTCGGGTGCTTTTCTACTCTTTCCTTACACATATTGTAACACTTAGAAAAGAGGGAGGCCTTCCCCTGGGAAACTTCTTGTAGCCACACCTGTGGCTCTGCTTCTTCTAAAATTTCTTCTTTTGGAATCAACCCTTTGTTCTCAGCTTTAGTTTCCAAACCTGAAACATTAAAGTACAAACTGCTACCATTCATTTCATCTCTGTGCAATATAGCAAAACAAGCAAGTACTAGCAAAAAAGCAACCCCAGCCCCCTTTAAGTATTCTCCATTAAATTCCTTATTTAGTTAACCTGTCTGATATGCTCATATTTGCCAGTGCAAACCCCATATCTTTCCTTTTATACTCATGCCTATGTCAACCAATTCCACTCTTCTTCCCTAGCCCCACTCCACTGCAGTGATAGGTCATTATTTTTGAAAGGTACATTTGGAAGGGCTGACAAGAAAGGATTGAATCTGAAGTACTGGGGGCAGGGGTGGGGCAACAAAAGAAAATTCAGAAAAGGAAAAAAAAAGTTGATATAAAAATAAATAGATAAAAGACATATAATGTTTCTTACAATTTAAAGACATGAGCTTCTATATTATTTTTTAAAATATTTATTTTTTAGTTGTAGTTGGACACAACACCTTTATTTCACTTATTTATTTTTTATGTGGTGCTGAGGATAGAACCCAGGGTCTCACATGTGCAAGGCAAGTGCTCTACCACCAGCCCCAACCCGAGCCCCAGAGCTTCTGTTATAAGGGCCCACCAACTACTCAGAACAATAAATTTAAAAAATACATCTTGGGCTGGGGTTGTAGCTCAGTGGTAGAGCGTTTGCCTAGCATGTGTGAGGCACTGGATTCAATCCTCAGCACTACATAAAAATAAATAAAATAAAGGTATTGTGTCCATCTACATCTAAAAATATTTTTAAAAAATACATCTCACACTGAGGCATACAAAAAAAAAAAAAAAACACCTAAATGTCTCCACCCAGGACAGATCACACACTGTGCTATGTTCTTTTATATACTTGTCAGGTGCGGCCACAAGAGAAGACTGAGGAGAGGCTCTAGGAAACAGTTTATTATTCTCACAGTCCTAAGGACAGGAGGCACACCATGCCACGTAAGGCCACATAGGAAAGCAGCAGTGGCAGAGGCAGAAGAGACAGGAGTAAGGGAGAACCTAAACCATGACTTATTAGACAAGAAAGATAAGAAAGGCAGGGTGAACTGGCAAGGGCTGGCTGTTCTGAATAATTTAGCAGGGCTCCAAGCCATAAAGGTGATCCTTTATTGCCTGGTACCAGACTCTGGGATGATTGAGGCATTGGAATACTGCTGTCTAGGCTGTGTGGACCACATGGAGGGGGATCTGGGTTGGAGTTCAGCGTTGGTTAATTTGCACAGCAAAGGCATGCTCCTGGCTGAATTCTTTGCTGTCTTTCAGAATGGCTAGCCCTTGGCAATCTCTTTCTCAGTCAGAAAGATTTTAAGATGTCAAAATGTCATAATATACAAAAAGATGAAAAACATGAAGAAAATACACATCAAAGATAAAATACTATAATGGCATCAGAGTTTCTCAAAAGCAACATGACAAACTAGATAGAAAATTAACTGTCTTCAAAATTATTTCTAACCTGAAATACCTAGCCATATATCTACCTGAGATGGGTAGTTTACAAAAAGCAAAGACTCATTTAACTCAAAGTTCTTAAGGGTGGGAACTGAAGAGTATTATGCAGGCATCCAGCAAGGCCTTCTTACTGCATCATTACATGGCAGAGGGATCACATGGCGAGACAGCAAGTATGTTGTCAGCTCAGGTCTCTCTTCCCCTGCTTATAAAGCCACCAGTCTCACCAATGGGGGCCCCACCCTCTTGACTTTTATCTATTTCTAATCACCTCCYAAAGGTCCCACTTCAAAATACTACCAAGCTGAGTTTGTGGATTAAATTTCCAATTATAATATTTGGGAAACATGTTCAACCAAAGCATCACACTCTGATCCAAATGTGTGAGAGAGATAAAAATATCTGCAGACATGCCAAGTTTCAAAAGATTTAGTTCCCAAGTATATGTTCTCTGGCAGATGTTCTCTACCAAATCAAGGGGATATACCAAGGAAGAAACTATTACAGAATCCAGTAAAGAGAAAAGGAATTTCCAGGGTAATGACGAAGGGAATCCTAGGACAAAAGCTGTGTAACAGGCCTGGGAAAGAAGCATTCTGTTCATACCAGAGCAGAGGAAGCTTTGAGGAGGATCTCTGCAAGGGGAAAAATAAAACTGGGAGCACATCCATGATTAGATCAATAGAAAACTAAGCAAATGTGGGGCTGGGATTGTGGCTCAGTGATAGAGCGCTCACTTAGCATGTGCAAGGCTCTGGGTTCGATCCTCAGCACCATATAAAAATAAATAAATAAAATAAAGATATTGTGTCCAACAACTAAACAATAAATATTTAAAAAAAAAAAAAGATGGGCTGGGGATGTGGCTCAAGTGGTAACGCACTCACCTGGCATGCACGGGGCGCTGGGTTCGATCCTCAGCACCATATAAAAATAAATAAATAAAATAAAGATATTGTGTCCAACAACTAAACAATAAATATTTAAAAAAAAAAAAAGATGGGCTGGGGATGTGGCTCAAGTGGTAACGCACTCACCTGGCATGCACGGGGCGCTGGGTTCGATCCTCAGCACCACATAAAATAAAATAAAGATGTTGTGTCCACCAAAAACTGAAAAATAAATATTAAAAAATTCTCTTTCTCCTCTCTCTCTTAAAAAATTAAAAAAAAAAAAGGAAAACTAGGCAAATGCAAAATGAGGCATTATTAACTCCAGGGAAACAAAAAGTTGCAACAGAAAAGACATATAGGTGAATATAGATAATACTGAAGTATGGTATACTAATTTAACTATAATTATAAACTATAAAAGGCTAATTTAACTGTAGAGAATTATGGACCACTAAATATATATATATATATATATATATATATATATATATATATATATATATATATATGCAGGGGAAACAAAATTCTTCATTTTCCCCAGTAGGCAGCCAAGAGACAATAATCGAAATTGGTGGGAGGTGGGTACAAGCATCTTATTTAGAAATTTAAAAATAAATAGCTGAGTGGCTAGCTGAAAGTTTGTTGTTGTTGTTGTTGTTTTTTTAATTTTTGCAGGACTGGGGATTGAATGCAGGGCCTTGGGCATGTTAGGCAAGTACTCTACCATCAATCTTCACCCTCAGCAATAGTTAAAAGATTTGAAAATAGTTGCCTATGAGAAGCTAAAATCTGGATTCAGAAGGGTCTGATATTTATCTAAAAGACTCAATAACACAAAGCACAGAATAAAACATTGAAAGATTTCCCTATATTAAAAATTTAAAATTCTATATAATAAAAGATGCCACAGTAAAAAGACAAGCCACCTTATACAGCCAAGATGAGAAAGGATTAGTATAAAAAAAAATCAGGCACAATGGTACATGCCTGTAATCCCAGCAGCTCAGGAGGCTGAGGCAGAAGGCCCACACGTTTAAAAAGCCAGCCTTAGAAACTTAGCAAGACACTGTCTTAAGGAAAAAAAAAAATACAGGGTGAGGAGGGGCTGGGGATGTTGCGCAGTGGTTAAGCAAGCACCTCTGGGTTCAATCCCTGATACCAAAAACAAAAACAAAAACAAAAGGCTGAGGGATCAGCAGTTATCAGCAGTGTGGGAAGAGAGGGCTTGATAGGCAAAGTGCAGCATTAAACAAGGCAGTCAGGATCAGGCTTCATTGAAAAGGAGTTATTTAAGCAAATTCCTGAAGCTGAGTCAGTGTGTGCTTTACTGAAAATCCAGAGGAGGGACATTCAAGGCGATGAAGTCAATTAGTGCAATCATTACACAGACCAGGAGGCAGGATGTCTGGTACATTCAAGTTCAGCCAGGCAGTGTGGTCAGAGCAGAGTGGATTGCAGACAGTGGGGAGACCAAAGGATGGGTGCTCGAGGAGGAAGGTTCCCAGCATCAAAGGACAATCAATAGCTCTCACTGTGCATGAAATGAAAGCCACTGTAGGTCCTGAGTGACATGACCCAACATCTGAAAAGAAACAATCAGGCTGCTGTGTGAAGATGTCATGCCACCAGCCGATTACACCAAATGTTAAGAAGAATGCAGAGAATGAAAAATTCTCATAAGTGGCTTATAGGCATATAAATTGGTGATAAGCTCTGTGGACAGCAAGAGGGGCATACATCTTTGCATACTGTATATTCTCTTTGGAATCACCCATATATGAATACAGGGAGGTAACAAGAGTGTTCATGAATTGTGCTGCTATGAACATCGATGTAGCAGTGTCCCTGTAGCATGCTCTTATTAGGTCTTTGGGGAATAGACCGAGAAGGGGAATAGCTGGGTCAAATGGTGGTTCCATTCCCAGCTTTCCAAGAAATCTCCATACTGCTTTCCAAATTGGCTGCACCAATTTGCAGTCCCACCAGCAATGAACAAGAGTGCCCTTTTCCCCCGCATCCTCTCCAGCACTTATTGTTGTTTGACTTTCTAATGGCTGCCAATCTTACTGGRGTGAGATGGTATCTTAGGGTAGTTTTGATTTGCATTTCTCTGACTGCTAGCGATGGTGAGCATTTTTTCATGTACTTATTGATTGATTGTATGTCTTCCTCTGAGAAGTGTCTGTTCAGGTCCTTGGCCCATTTATTGATTGGGTTATTTGTTATCTTATTGTCTAATTTTTTGAGTTCTTTGTATATTCTGGTTATTAGGGCTCTATCTGAAGTGTGTGGAGTAAAGATTTGTTCCCAGGATGTAGGCTCCCTGTTTATCTCTCTTATTGTTTCTTTTGCTGAGAAAAAACTTTTTAGTTTGAGTAAGTCCCATTTGTTGATTCTAGTTGTTAACTTTTGCTAGATGAATGGATAAAAAAATGTGGCATTTATACACAATGGAGTATTACTCTGCATTAAGAAATGACAAAATCATAGAATTTGGAGGGAAATGGATGGCATTAGAGCAGATTATGCTAAGTGAAGCTAGTCAATCTTTAAAAAACAAATACCAAATGACCCCTTTGATATAAAGGGAGTAAACAAGGACAGGGTAGGGACGAAAGTTTGAGAAGAAGATTTACATTAAACAGGGATGAGAGGTGGGAGGGAAAGGGAGGGAGAAGGGAAACCGCATGGAAATGGAAGGCGATCCTCAGGGTTATACAAAATGACATATAAGAGGAAAGGAGGGGTAAGACAAGATAATACAAATCGAAGAAATGATTTACAGTAGAAGGGGTAGAGAGAGAAAAGGGGAGGGGAGGGGAGGGGAGGGGGGATAGTAGAGAATAGGACAGACAGCAGAATACATCAGACACTAGAAAGGCAATTTGTCAATCAATGGAAGGGTAACTGATGTGATACAGCAATCTGTATACGGGGTAAAATTGGGAGTTCATAACCCACTTGAATCAAACTGTGAAATATGATGTATTAAGAACTATGTAATGTTTTGAACGACCAACAATAAAAAAAAAAAAAAGAGTGTTCAGTGTCACATTGTAATGGTGAAAAACTAGACACCTAAATGCCCATTGGCAGAATGGAAGGTTAATTTTGGAGTTTCGCACAGCAAATAAGGTGTTAAAAGAAAGCTTAATTATATCTGATCTGTGACTGCATGTATATAAAGAATATAAAACATGCGTGGAAAGGATAAATACCACCATCAGGATATTGGTTACCTCTGGAGAAAGAGCATGGGGAATAGCTTCAAGGAGGGTACATGAGGCTTCACTTTAGCTATGACTTCTTATTTTTGGGGGGAATAGAAAACAAAATCAATATGGCCAAATATTAAGATTTGATAAGCCTGGGTGGTAAATAAACAGTTGCTCATTATCTTTTTATATTTTCTCTTAAGTGTGAAGTATTAAAAATAACAAAAATAAAAAGCTGAATCAAACCAGGAATGGTGGCACACGCCAGTAATCCCAGTGACTCGGGAAGCTAAGGCAGGAAGATATCAAGTTCAAAGCCAGCCTCAGCAAAAGCAAGGCACTAAGCAACTCAGTGAGACCCTGTCTCTAAATAAAATAAAAATTGGGCTGGGGATGTGGCTCAGTTGTCAAGTATCCCTGAATTCAATCCCGGTACCCACCACCCCAAAAAGCTGAATCTGTCACTTAGCCACAGAGAATAGAAAGGTCCTGCTTGGGTCACAGAAGAAACTCTAAAGCTCTTGGCTCACATCTGTACATGGTAGAATGGCTTGGGAAATGCAGTGAACTGAGCCCTTCACAAATTACATACATTATAAATCAGCAGAGTAATAGCACTCACTAGGCAGGACTGTGCTCCCATTATCCTTCTGCACATTCTCCCTGTAGAAGTCCCTCTGAGCTGTGTCCAGCTGCTCCCACTCCTCCCAGGGTAGAGACACGGCCACATCCTTGAGTGTCACCAATCCCTGGAACAACATGAGATTCCTATTCAATACCTGCTGTCCCTGGACAGCACTATCACTAGTCTGAATATGAGGTCAAACTCCAGAGAGTACTGAGAAGAGGAAGCACTGAGAACCAACCACAGCTATTCAGTTTTGGCCAATGAATCTTGTACTGAGAGGGGAGATTTGAAGGGACTGACATTGTCTTGTAATCCTAAAAAGCTTTTCTGTGTACTGCCTACACTAATTTGGGGTAGGCAGGAGCAAATACTTAACGCATGTTATATCACTGTGGTTTATCAAAAYGGAAACTTGATATAGATGAGAAATATATAACCAGAAAGTTTCACATTCCAGTGCTGAAACTCTGAGATGCTGTTTCCTTATGAGCAAAAGACACACCCCAACCAGAGGGTGCTAAGTCCTTTCTGTTCTCTGCCCTTGGCTACTTTATAATAAGATAATTATGCAACAAGACACTCTTTTGAGATGGCTTATTAAATGTAAGCTGACTACTTCTGTGGGTGAATGCCACAATATATAGAAAGGGAAGATTCTAAAAGTGGTGAGGGAGATGTTTTTCCAGTTCTAGTGTGGGTAATAAATTAACTCCAAGGCTCTTCCACTCACTGTACTGTGTGTATGTAATATATGTCGACCCATGCCTATGTGTATTTACAGGTTAAGTATCCTGTATCTGAAATGCTTGGGAGCAAAAATGTCAGAGTTTAGAGTTCAGATTTTGAAATATTTGCATAAATTTTACTTGGCTGAGCAGTCCTAATCTAAAAATTCAAAATATGAAACTTTTTCTTTTTTTTTTTTTGGTGCCAGTAATTGAACCCAGGGGTGTTTAACCACTGAGCCACATCTCTAGCTGTTTTTACTTTTTGTTTTGAGGCAGAGTCTTGCTAAGTTGCTTAGGGCCTTGCTAAATTGCTGAGGCTGGCTATGAACTTGGGATCCTCCTACCTCAGCCTCCTGAGTCACTGGGATTACAGGTGTGTGCCACTGCACCTGGCTAAAATCTAAAAATTCTGGAGTCTCAAGCTCCTACAACAAATAAGTATTGCAACAAATGTCAATAGTGCTGAAGTTAAGAAACTCTGCCTGTTATCATGCTAAAATATGAAATGGCCATCTTTTTTCTTTTTTGTCTATAGTCTCCAAATTATATTTCAAAACCAGTAATGGAGTACCTTTCAGAATATTAGTACTATTTTTTTTCTAGTATTCTTCTGAAGAGTCTACCACACGGTTGTATTTTAACATCTGAAAAACCAAAAATAATTAGGATTGTAAATAAGATGTACATAGGTATGCAGCTGAGGACCAGGAATCAATGGCAGGAGACACTGTTAAATAAACCTGTAGAGAATGGTGACTTGGATCATGGTCTCTGACTGCCTTGTGGCTGTGGATGCACTTGTACTGGGAACTTTCTGTGCAAAGATGCAGGTCAAGATTGCCCAGTTGTTACGGCAACATCCTGCCTGAGGAAGCTCTGTGTAAAGGCACAGAACTATATCAGTCTTGACCCTGATCTCAGACACCAGCTGCCAGGGATAAATAATTCTGGACATAATAAGATAACCACAATGCCTTGTAAGTGCCATGACTTTCAGGCTTTGCAGAAACTTTCCCATAAATCACCTTTTTTGTGTGTGTGTACTAGGGATTGAACTGAGGGGCACTTGACCACTGAACCACATCTCCAGCTCTATTTTTTGTATTTTATTTAGAGACAGGATTTCACTGAGTTGCTTAGCACCTTGCCATTGCTGAGGCTGGCTTTGAACTTGTGATCCTCCAGAGCCACTGAGATTAAGGGTGTGTGCCACCACACCCAGTTCACAAATAACCTTTTGATGATGAAACCTACATAATAAACATGCTGTACTAGCTCTGGGTCACTGTTCCTCCAGCAGAGGATAGTGTCCCACCTGGTCCCAGCTTGCTTTCTAAAAGTGTTATTGAATTTTTCTTAACATTCCACTGGTCCTTGCCAGTTTCTAAGGTTCGGCCATGCAGGTTGTGGCTTGAACCCTCACATTTTAAACAGATAGATATGGTTACGGAATCTTGATCTCCTCTTTCCCAGATGGACACTTTTTCTATTTTACACAGTTGTTTGACCCTAAACRTCTGTGCCTCATATTTATCTCTGAAATGAGAGAGGACGACACCGCCATGGTATTTTTTAGCTACAAGATTTTATTTGTCTTCAATTGCTGCAAAAGGCCATATGCTAGGGTCTGGAGTTGTAGCTCAGTGGTACAGCACTTGCCTGGCACATGTGAGACACTGGGTTTGATCCTCAGTACCACATAAAAATAAATAAAGATATGGTGTCCATCTATACAACTAAAAAGTATTTTTTTAAAAAAGGCCATATGCTAAAACCAAATATTAATGACTTTTGGCTACTACTTTCATTTCTTGTGGATAATTACAAACAAAATAAAACCTAAGAGCAAGCTGCCATGACACAGATGATCACTTATTTTCAGAGTGGGCAGTGTTTAAAAACTATCTAAGAGATATAGATGGAAACTTCAGAGAATGCTTTGCAAACACAGTACTGGAAATCTTCAGATTCTAAGGATTGGGAAACCCAGTACTGTGTAATAAAGTCAATCTCCTGCTGATTTCAATGACATTCCTTTCTTTCTACCTTTAAAGCTAAAGCTGGAGGGCTGAGGTTGTGGTTCTGTGGTAAAGCGTTTGGCTAGCATGTATGAGGCACTGGATTCTATCCCAAGCACCTCATTAAAAAAAAAAAAAAAAAAAACCACCACCAAAAAAACTAAACTAAGCTAAATAAACAAAATAAAGGTATTTTGTCCATCTACAACTAATAATATTGAATTAAAAAAAACCCCAAAGCTGGAGTGTTCTGGTTTGTTGTTCAATGGTGTCAATACTCATACAACAAAATACCCTTTATCATTTTTTGCTTTTAGTGGAAAAGCAATATGGAGTAATGTGCAGAAGAATGTATGGTCATTCATAAAAGACTGACATAGAGCAATGAACAAAGATCTGCTAATGTTATGACACCTTATCACAAAATATTTGATTCTATAGCTGGGGTTGCAGCTCAGTGGTAGAGCACTTGCCTTGCATGCATGAGGCATCCTCAGCACCACATAAAAAAATAAATAAATAAAGATATTGTGTACATCTACAACTGAAAAAATATTTAAAAAAATTTGATTCTCAACTGCTGCATTTTTCTTTCTTTCTTTCTTTCTTTCTTTCTTTTTTTTTTTTTTTGTACTGGGAATTGAACCCAAGGGAGCTTTACCACTGAGGTACAGTCTCCAGTCCTTTTTATTTTTAGACAGGGTCTCTCTAAATTGCCAAGAGGGCCTGGAATTTACGATTCTCCTGTCTCAGCCTCCAGAATCACTGGAATCACAGGCAAGTGATTTGTGCCAGGCTGCACTATATGTCTATGATGACTAGAACTAGTTAGCTTTGGCTTTAGTCCTGCAGCAGCAAAATGGAATTCAATGGCAAGTACCATAAAGGTACAGAATTAGGTCCAGTGAATCCCTCAATGCAACAAGGCTCATTTTAAGTCCAACAGTAGCCAAGGACTGTGGCACCCTATAATCCCAGCAACTCAAGGGGAGGTTGAGGCAGGAGGATTGCTCAAGTTTGAGACAACACAGCAAGGTCCTAAGCAATTTATGAGACTAAAGTAAAAAAACAAAAAGGGCTAAGGATAAACTTAGTGGTAAAGAATCTCTGGGTTCAATCAGCTACCCCCCCCCAAAAAAAATCCAACAGTAATCCACAAATCATTATTACATCAAATATACTTTCGCTAAAAACCCACCAGTGGGCTGGGGTGTAGCTCAGTGGTAGAACACTTGGCTGGCATGTGTGAGGCATGGGTTTGATCATCAGCACTATAAACAAAGAAACAAACAAACATTATTGTGTTCATCTACAACTTAAAAAAAAAAAAAAGCCCACCAGTGCTGCAGCTTCCGACTCCCCAACTGATATCAACTAATGTCTGCAAATTGAAAAATAAAAAAGTACAACCAACCTCACTGTGGGAGGCGGGTATCACCAAGCTGTTAAAAAGCAAAAGGGGATGTTCACATTCAAGATGCTGAGAAATTTCTGTTCTAAGTTGTTTAAGGACGTAAGCCCGCTTTTCATCCTGACATCATTCTTTTCCAGTCAGTAAAAGAAGAGGGTGTCTTGCAATGGATAACCAGTAATTTGCTTGATGCTAAGTCCTTACTAGGCCCTGCTTGCTACGGAATAAAACAAAGTTCACACAAAATGTAACAAGGGAGAAAGAATGTCGGCCACTTGGAGCATCCCTCACACTCCCACCACCCAGAACAGGCCTTTCCCCTTCTCACCGGGGGTAAGGTCCCGCCCAGCGCTCTCTGGAGAGCCCGCGCCACAGCCGCGGCCTCTTCCCCACTCTCTGGGCAGTGGTCACGCACCCAGGCCTGGAGTTCGTCGGGTAGGATGGTCAGGAACTGCTCCAGCACCAGCAGTTCCAGGATCTGCTCCTTTGAGCGCATCTCAGGCCTAAGCCACCGACGACAGAGTTCCCTGAGCCGACTCAGCGCCTCTTCGGGTCCATCCACCTCCTGGTAACGCAACTGCCTAAACTGCTGTCGAGAAGTTTCGGGGTCTTGCCAGGCCCCGGGCGGGTCGGACTCCCGACCTCCGAGTGAGTCCTCCTCCACCTTCACTATGAAAAGCTCCTCAGGTAGGGGCTGCGCGGCGACCGTGGATCTCGCGGCCATTCGCGCCTTTGGGCAGACAAGCTCGAACCCATCTTTTCCCGGCACTTGCTGACTTTCCCAGAGTCTTGCCTTCAGATGAGAAGACAGCAAACCCAAGGAACTCATGGGCCCTCCTCAAAGCGAGGGCTCACGGCRGTCGTGTCCCACACACCCGACTCCACGCAGCCCGCCGCCCACTAGGCACTGGCCTAGCACCGGGGATACCCCGGCATCCTCTAGGTCCTTTGATAGAAAAAAAAAACAAAACAAAACCCAGCCTACGCAGGAAGTGCGTCACCGATCCCTGCGGTGCCCGCCCCAGCATTTCCGGGGCCTCTCCAGGCGGCCCGGAGGACTGAGATGCATCTGGGTGGTTTACCATCCTTCTCACTCCCGCCATCCCGAGGCGGCGACTCCTGTGCTGATTTCTGCTGCTGGAGAAAATAACCKGTTTAGGAGCAGTTGATAGAGCAAGGAACTGTCAGAGTTGGGAGAAAACAAAAAAGAACTTTAACTGCTTCTGTGTACGTCACATGTTATGGCCTTTGATTCTCTCAAAGATGAGGAAACTGTGGCTGGAAGAAGTCGTGTCTTGCCTGATAATCAACAGGCTTGTGGCTCGATGAATGAGACCAACATGCCCATTTGAAACGCCAGAACTGAGCACTTTCCACTGATACATGTTCAGTTATTGTAATTTTTCTCCCCCAAAAGCGATTTCTTCGCCCAAGCTATTTGGTTCATTTATTCATTCATCTATTCAAGAAACCTATCCAAGGACTGAAAATGTAGCTCAGTGGCAGGGCGTTTGCCTAGCATGTGCAAGGCCCTGGGTTCAATCCCCTGGACCAGTGGGTGGTGGCGAGTTGACTGCTGTGCTTCTGCTCTCCGGAAAGTGACAAGTTGACCTGGCCTGTTATTATTGGTACATGTCACTGCACCTCCTAACAGTACAGGGCACACTGTGGCCCTTCAGTCATCAAGTGCCCAGTGAATATTTCCTGAGCATCTAAGACCTTTGAAGCTCTAGCAGAGTAACAGAACTCCTCCCTCCTTCAGGGTGCTGTATGAAGTGAGAGCAGGGGATGGAATAGGGGGTGATGGGGATGTCTTAACAATTCCTACAAACTGGATGGTTTAAGAAATTTATCATCTCAGTTCTGGAATCTAGAAGTGTGAAATCAAGTTGTTGGCGGAGTGTTTCCTTCCAAGGGCTGAGAGGAAGAATCTGCTCTTAGTTCACCCCAGCTTCTAGTGGTTGGTGTTACTCTTCCGTGTTCTTTGGCTAAATGCAAAAGCATCATCCCACTCTGACTCCATCTTCACATGTCGTTCTACCTGCAGGCATGGTCTATCTCCAAATTTCCCTTTTATAAGACAATAGTTATAACCAATTAGGACCCCACCCTAATGACCTCATTTTCAACTTGGTAAAGACCCTATCTCCAAATACGGTCGGTCATCTTCTTAGTTACTGTGAGTTAAGACTCCAACATGTGAATTTTGGGGGACACAATTCAATCCATAAGAATATGCCCTATATAGGTCTGTTGTCTAAATTTCTGAGAAGGCTCCAGGTTCAAAAGGAGCAAATGTGAGATGATAATCTAGGGTAAAAGAAGAAAGAATTTAGAACAGTCAGCAATTTTCCCTCCTATCCCAGAGAATGRTCACTGGAAAACTCCCCAGACTTCCTCATTTCTATGTCACGGAGCCTTTGTGTACTGCTATTTATATGATTCATGATGACCCCAACRCTTATCAAGTGCTTATTATGTGCTAAGAAGTTTGAAGAGCTATATCTCAATCCTCACAATGAAACACTCTGGGTTAGTGCAGTTAACTGAGAACCAGAGAAGAATAATTTACCCAAAGTTTTCAGTTACAAAGTGGCAGAACTGGTATTAGAACAGGACAGCAATACCTAATGCTCTAGTCTTTTCTTCCATTATTTTTACTTTTCTTTAAAATATCTTTTAGTTGTTGATGGATCTTTTATTTTATTTATATGTGGTGCTGAGAATCAAACCCAATACCTCACACATGCTAAGCAAGCACTCAATCACTGAGCCACAATCCTAACCCTTACTTTTCCTTTTTCCTATTTATATTGATTTGAACTTTTTACACCAAATCTTTACCTTAGGAGCAACTTGTAGATTTATTTTCTTCAACTGTGAGTAACTTAGTACAGTAAACCTTGGGCTAGAACTGAGACAATTTGGATCTTCTTTGGCCAAAAGGTCCAGATATGGTTTTGGAAAAGTCCTCTAAGGATTATAAGCCTTATTGTTCTAATATCTAAAACAAGTATGGAACAGGATTATAATTATTCAAAATAATGTTTGATTTTGGAGGATCATACAAAAGAGTGTCTGAAAATGAAAAATTAAAAGGGCTGCGGATGTGGCTCACTGGTTAAGCAACCCCTGGGTTCAATCCCCGGTACAAAAATAAATAAATAAATAAATAAACAATGACTTGAATTTTGGCTCATGCAAATCCATTCCCTACTTTAAGAAATAAATGACATTTTAAAAATGTAAAGGTCAGCAGAGCGCGGTGGCACACTCCTGCAATCCCAGCCGGGCAGGAGAATCACGAGTTCAAGGCCAACCTCACCAAAAGCCAGGTGCTAAGCAAGTCAATGAGACCCTGTCTATAAATAAAATACAAAATAGGGCTGGGGATGTGGCTCAGTGGCGGAATGCTCCTGCCCCTGCCCCGCAAAAAGGGGAGAACATTTCGAAGCCACTCAAATTGAGGTAGGTTTCTTGGAAAAAATGGATATCCATCTTAGACAAATTTTACATACATTATTAAGTCAACTGAATAAAAGCACCAAAATTAAGCCCCAGCTGCAAAATCCWACACCACACTCCTTCGTAGATTCTATTTTTATTTTTAAATGTCAACTTACACGCAAAATACATTGCGGACTTTCACCAGGGTCTTGGTCTTAAATAGGAAGCAACCTATCATGCATGAGATTTTGAGTGGTCTGGAAAGTGTCCTTTAACTTCTAAATATCCTCTCCATCTGTTGGCAGAAGCTGCAGTTCCAGAGCCGTTTGAGCCCCAAAGAGTGGCGATAAGTGAATCTGTCGTGTCTGTCCGACAGCTTTGAAAACGAGCAAACTTAAAAGTGAGAGATTATTAAATCTCCTGAGCTCKAGCTAGGGAACTCCTGAGTAAACAACGGCCTTTGCAAGTTTTGCTCTCCCGACCCCTAAGGCCAATAGGCACCGGGCGCCCCCACTAGTCTTCCAGACCGGCGCCAGTGGACACGCCACCCGCCCTACTGCTTTCTGATAGGCCCGCGAGAACGAGGCTAGAAGTAGAGTCGTGGCCCTATTGGTTAGCTGGTGTAGCCCGCGCGGGGCTTCCTGGGAGATGTAGTCCCAAGAGCCTCTCGCGCTGGCGAATTGCGGGTGTGACGTTGGAGACTTCGGCCCAGTGAGCCGACTGTGGCAGTAAAGAGGTGGGTGTGTTTGGAAAGGGAGGGATGAGAATTTGGGTGAATAAAACCTAAAGTGCTCAAAGTATAAGATGTCCGAGGCTTACGGACTCGCAGAAAGATAGATAAGGATCTACTTCGAATTGGGGCGCAGAGCGTTGGGGGTGGGGAGGCGCCAGGACCGCGGCCAATCAGGCGCCGGCAACTGTTGCCTAACCCTTGATGCCCCGCCTCTTGTCCTCACTCCAAGAAAGGGGGAGGAGCTCGGCTGTTTCTTGGCTGTGCTGTGGGGTGGGGAAGAGGGTGATTGGGTTTCCTGGCTGACTCTGGTAACTTTGTATTTGCACCCCAGAGGCCTAGGGACGTCCAGGTTRTGGGCGGTGGGCTGGGGGTCCGGCCGGGCCCTATCTCGGTGTCGATTGGTCATCTCTCCTTCTGGGGCGCGGCCAGGGGCGGCACCCCCCCACCCCACCCGCTGCGAGGCGAGGACCTCCGGGATTCCTAGAGAGGCCTCGGAAGTGTTCTCGTGGGTGGGATTTATGGCTTAAGCTTCTACTTGCTTACTTCCGGTGAGGAAGTGTCAGCATCAGTGTTCTCCTGTTTTGTACGATTCCCGGTCTTCCAAATTTTGGCTGCGGGAGAATGATCTTCCTGGAGAGCTAATTGGGACTGGGGACTTGAGGGGAGGGAGTAGGGCTTTTGTATTCGGACGGGGAATCTGTCCCTAACCTTGACCGGGCTGTCTCTGTGTCGTGGGGTCAGGAGCGTTTCAGAAAAATTTAGGTCCAAATCTTTACCTTATACCATATCTCTTCTGGACCAATGAAGTCTTCAGTTGTCTGTCAAGCTCTTGTGGCTTGATGGACAGAACCAGTTATGAACATTTTAATGTTTTTCACCCCCATTCTGACTTAAGTTTGATTTATGGTAGAGAGAAGGAAGGGCTCCATCTGTAATAGTAAGTTTTGTCTCATTATTTATAGGAACTGTCAAGTATTTTTGCCTCTAAAATTGTGTCTTAGATTGAGACTGATGTGAAATTTTTATGAGTGTTCATTACTTTTTTTAAATCTTGGAGGTAATCTCTTGATAATCTTCTTATGGATGGAGTGGCGACTGTCTTGCAGTCCATATTTTTAAGTAAATTACTTCGTTGAGTGGTCATCTTTAGTTTTTGTRTAGAACGTCTTTGCCGTCTCTCTTTGCTAATAATGATTCCCGATATATATCAGTAGGTTGCACACTACTGAAAGTGCTCTTCAGAAGACAAATTGGGTCAGAGTAACACAGCCAGCCTCGAGAGAATTCCCTCTGAGTTGGAATGATAATGACAGAATCCCGGGAAGTTATAGACTTAGATCCTCCAGCTGAGACTTCACCGGAMCAGGAAGACCTTCTAATAGTGAAGGTGGAAGAAGAAGACTGCACCTGGATGCAGGAGTACAATCCGCCACCGTTTGAGACTTTTTACCAGCGGTTCAGGCATTTCCAGTACCATGAGGCATCAGGTCCACGCGAGGCTCTCAGTCAACTCCGGGTACTCTGCTGTGAGTGGCTGAGGCCCGAGTTGCACACCAAGGAGCAGATCCTGGAGCTATTGGTGCTGGAGCAGTTCCTGACCATCTTGCCAGAAGAGTTCCAGGCCTGGGTGAGAGAACATCATCCTGAAAGTGGCGAAGAGGCTGTGGCTGTGATAGAAAGTATACAGAGAGAGCTTGAGGAACGCAGGCAACAGGTGAGTGGAAGAAGAGGCAGGAGCAGTGAGGAAGGAGAGGAAAGAGTTAAGGAACTGCTAAG